GGGAAAGAGGAAGAGAGTGAGGCCCACACTGCTCCTTCCTCTGCCCCTTCTGGCCCAGCATGTCTCACCTGAATCACGGGGGACAGCAGGCTTCCTTCACTCTCTCCTCAGCCTTCAGCACAGAGTCTGCACCTGGCCGTGCTGTCGATGAGGAATGAAGGAATAACCAGCCTGACAGCTCTCCTAGCTGTGGAATGAGGCCCTGTGGCCCTTCCAGAGTCATGACTGAAGCCTGCTCTGTGCACCAAGTTCCCCGGCTCCCGGAAGTGCACCACTGGTCACCTGGGCTGGGCATGGGAGGGTGACTGTGAATGGGCATCAGGGACCCTTCTGGGGTGATGGGTATGCTCTAAAGCTCAATCGAGGTCACGGTCGCATGACTCTACATTTACTAAACATCACAGTTGAACTTTTTTTTTTTTTTTGGAGAGGTTTTCGCTATAGGGCGCATGCGTTCACCAGATAGACAGAGAGAGACAGACAGACAGAAAGCGAGAAATCACCCCCAGGGGGGATGGTCACGCCACAATCCCTTCTCCTCCATTCTCCTCTCGGGATCTTGGGCACGCACGCACACGCGCCCGGCATGAATTCTAAGCCACCAGGTACGGGACGCGAACCACGGTCGACTACATGGAAGTCCAGCGACATAGCCATTACGCTAACTGCTGGTTCTCACAGTTGCACTTTTTAACAGAGGTGACTTGGAGCCGGCTCCATGACCTGGTGGTTAAGGCAACCAGATCCCACTGGCCAAACATATACAGTTCAAGTCCTGAACCTGGTGGCTTTAAAAAAAACATGCTGGGTATGTGTGTATATGTGTGTAAGCCCAAAATCCCGAAAGGAAGGAGAAACGAAGAAGGGCTTGCAGAGTGACCATTTCCCACGGGGTGGTTGCTGTCTCCCTTTCTTTTCTGTCGGGTGAGTGCATGCACACTCTAGCCAAAAAAAAATGGTGGTTTTTATGATATGTAAAGGGCACCTCAATCAAGCTGTCAAAAAAAAAAAAAAAAAAAGTTCCAGAAGCTCCCCAGTGCCCACAGGATGAAGATGAAGGGCAGGTACCTTGCAGGTGTTCAGGCCCCCTGCAATCTGGATAGCCTGACTCGCCCCGCCTGCCCACATGGGGGCGTCCCTCCCAGAGGGGCTGGTCTCTGCTGGGCTTTCTAACCATGGCTGTGGGTAGGTCCCACCTCTCTGGCACATTCCCGGCCTCCAGAGCACAAAGCGCTCTCACTATGGAGCTGGCTGCTGCCCCTACAGAACGGAACGTGGAGCGTGATCCCTTCGTGTCAGGGGATCATCCAGAACGAGCAGGGAAGGGCGCTGTCTGCGAGGGCCCTGATTCTGCTCCTCACCCAGAGAGGTGCGGAACTGGGTGTCACGGTCCCTGGAGGAGTGTGCAGGGCAGGAGGGGAAGAGGGATCCTTGGAGTCACCCACTCGGCCTCTCCCTGTTAGGCTTGGAAGGTGGGGCTCAAGGAGGAAAAGAGCCTTACTTCAATCCTGGGTGTTTACACCAGAGCTATAAACTCTTCAGTGGCTGCCAATGAAGTCGAGCTCTGCTTGTGGGGCCGCCCCAGCCAGTGAGGGTTTGGATTTTGGTCTGTCACCCGTCAGGACAGAAGCTCCTGAGGACAGCTGTATCTCCCCTGACCCTCCCCTGATCTGTATCAATGTCTAGCAGTGTCTGGAAACACTGAGGGGTGAGGACAGCTAGGGCTCTTTCCAGAACCCCGGACTGGGCTGGGTCTCAAGAATCAGGGCCCTCAGCTATGAGGGCTGGTGAAAAGCAGGGCAGATCGCTAGAAGTGATACCCCTAACCAGAGCTGGAGGCTGCATCCCGGAGGCCCCTGGGGGGCCTGGGCAGATTTCTGGGCATGTAAGAAATACCTTGACACAAGGCCGCTGACTTTTGGATCTGAGGCCTGCGTGGCGCCAGGCGATCCCTTCCTTCTGGGTGTCAGAGCTTGAGGCCGGGTAGGATGTGGCGAGGAGGAGCTTTTGCAGCTGAGGGAGAAGCAGAGGAGAGGGACAGGACTGAGCCACCGCCGGAGGACACACAGAGCTGCCTACCATCCCCACAGGACAGCCCATGCCCCGACCCTAGGCAACCCATGCCCTAGACCAGTGTCTCCATTATGCCAGTGTGGAAGGCAGACTGTCTAACCAGCCCAGACACAAGAATCCCAACAAGGAAATTCTTTCAGCGTTCATAACCCCAGAGAAGAGCTGTGACTTTGAGAAACTCAAACAAGTCTTGGGTAACGTTTGCTGATTCCACATTAAAATATAATGTACACACTTTATTGGGACACCCTGCTCATACCTGCAGGAGACACGCACACACACACCCACACACACACACACACTGAGTCTGGGAGGTTAAGTTCCAAAATAATTCCCTGAGAGGATTTTAGCTGATTTCTCTTTTGTTCTTTTTGCTTACTCATATTACTCTTAAAAATTAATTTCTGGGGACCAGCAGTTAGCGTAACGGCTATGTCACTGGACTCCCACGTAGTCGACCATGGTTCAAGTCCTGGATCTGGTGGCTTAAACTCACGCTGGGCGCGTGTGCGTGCATGCCCAAGATCCCGAGAGGAGAATGGAGAAGGGATTGCGGTGTGGCCATCCCCCCTGGGGGGTGATTTCTCGCTTTCTATCTCTATCTCTGTCTGTCTGGCAAGTGCACATGCCCTATAGCAAAAAACCTCTAAAAAAAATTAATTTCTGAAGAAGCAATACTTGTCAAATTTAAAAACAAAACAAAATAGCATATGTACCACAATTACTAAAAGGCAGACAATTAAAAGCAAATCTTGGGACTGGCAGGTGGCTACTGGCTCCCACATGACTGACCGTGGTTCAAGTCCCAGACCTGGTGGCTTGCTTTCTCACTTTCCCTCTGTCTCTCTCTCTTTCTTTGGTTAAATTAAAATAATAATAATAATAAAAATTTTAAAAAGCAAGTCTCCTTCCTGCATGGATCCCTTTCTCCTGCCTAGAGGCACCCACTATAACTACGATTATGCAGCACATAACGACACCCCCATCTATATGATAAGCTGCGTGTATGACTTGGGTAGGGGGTTCCATGACAGGCTGGACCATCTAGCCCTGGTGTGTAGGAGGCCACACTATCCAGGTTTACGTAAGTACCCTCTGTAGTGTTGGTACAGCGACAAAATCGCCCAACAACACGTTTTTCAGAACACATCCCTGTCAGTAAGTGATGCCTGACTGTACTTTCTTACGAAGCCATCCTGAGGCAGGCTTTGATCGTACAAGAATATATGTTTATAGCACCTCTGTGTATACATCATATTTTAACAGTAGGGGCAGGTAGACTAATGATTGGATATCATTTTTTATTTGTATTTCTTCTTAGTTTTTTTTTTTTGTCATTGGATAGGTGTACTCACCAGAGAGAGTGAAAGTGAGAAAACACCCTCCAGGGGAGATGGCCATGTCACAATCCCTGCTCCTCCATTCTCCTCTTGGCATTTTGGGCACACACGCACATATACCCTATGTGATTTTCAAGCCACTGGGTTCAGGACTCGGACTGAGGTCAATCACATGGGAGTCCAGCGCCTTAACCACCACACCACTTGCTGGCCACCCCCCATTTTTTTTTTTTTTTTTTAACTCTAAGAATACAGTAAAAGCTGCTGACCTCTAAATGATGAAATACACAGATAGCTAGGTCCTTTCAAGTCTGTTGGTGGACTTTGTGAGATTCGCGGAAAAATTCGGGATCTGCATGACTTCTCAGGGCCTTCCTAGAACTTAGTCCCGGTCCTGGGAGTCTAGACAAGGAGTCTGTTTCCCATGTACTTAGCACAGTGCCTAAATTAGAGGCATTCAATAAAGGTGTGGAAAGGCATGAGAAGGAAACAACCTTTGACCAGCAGGGGGCGCTCTTTGCCTCGCGAAGGTTTGGTCCTTCTCAGAAGCCCTAGGCAGAAATGGCACTGAGAATTCTTGCTACTACTGCTACTACTGGTTGTCCAGAGGTATTACTTACATAGCATTTACTGAGCAACTCTACGTGCCACGCACTGTTATAAAGCCTTCATGTGTAGTATCTGCTGCCAGCCTCTTAACAGCCGTGGGGAACAGGTGCTAGCAATTTTGTTTTTCTTTTTAGGTTTTTGCCATAGGGCATGTGAGCTCACCAGAGAGAGACAGAGAGAGAGAAAAAAAATGACAAATCACCTCCCAGGGCAGGGTGGGGGTGATGGCTACACCACAATTCCTTCCCCTCCATTCTCCTCTTGGGATTTTGAGCACGCACACACACATACTCGGCGTGATTTCTAAGCTGCCAAGTCCAGGACGTGAACTGCACAGTTGGGCAAGCGGGAATCGGCCACCTTAACCACCATGCCACCTACTGGCCACAGAAGCTCTATTATTAACCCGGCTTATAGGTCAGGAAGCTGAGTCAGAGAGGGGGTGAAGCAGGCTGTTTGCCTAAGAGTCACACAAGTACTTAGGAGCAGGGCCGGGACTCAAACTCAGGCAGTATGATTCTAGTCTGAGAAAAGAAGGGACCGTTGGGACCAGTAGATGGTGTAATGGTCACAACGCTGGACTCCCACATAGTCAACCACAGTCCGAGTCCTGGAAATTCACACCAGGCCTGTGTGCATGCGTGCCCAAGATCTCGAGAGGAGCCTGGAAGAGAAGGGATTGTGTGGCCATTCCCCCTGGGAGATGATTTCACTTTCTGTCTATCTCCCCAGTTAGTGCATGCACCCTATAGGAAAAATCTCTCTAAAAAAAAAATAATAATAATAAAATAAAATAAAAGGACCCTTGTGGACACCATGTGGGACTAACCATACTCAGTGCCTAACATATAGTTGGCACTTACTAAATGTTTTACCCTGCTTTGGGGAACTCGAAGGCAGTGGGAAAGAAAGGAAATGGTTCTCGACTTGGAATCAGAAAACCTGGGTTCTCGTCTTTGCTGACACACCAACTTGCTGTCTGCGTGTGGGCCAGCCCTTTCCCACTCTGGGCCTCAGATCCCCAGAACTGAGCTTAATAGTCACCGGGGGTCTTTCCAGCTTAACATCTCCATGGCATAGGTGCAAGGTGCAGAACAGTGTGTACGTAGGCTCCCTTTCAGTAGTTTAAAAGAAAAAAAAAAAGTGGAAGAGGAAAATCACGTAATAGATCCGTAACCATGGTTACCCCCGGGGAAGGAAGAAGCGACTACGAGTGGGCTAAGGGAGTTTTGCTTTTCACTGTCCACATTTCTTGACTGGACTTTTGCCCTGTGTCCGTATCTTTAGGAAAAAGGTTTGCATGTCATTTCAGATTTAACACACACCTAAAGTCAATGTTTGAAATCCTGAAGAGCCTACAGAACGCAGGTTAGGCCTCTGTCGTTGGTCCCACTGTCCAGGTGGGAAAAGCGAGGCCCAGGGAGGCCTCCCGCCTCTAGCCAGGCTCAGTCCTGGCGATCGCATTTCTGGTGATGCATGGGGACCCCTGCAAGGCTGGAGCTGTCTGCTCTGCACCCGCCCTTCCGACAACCAGACGCCCAATCCCAGGCTGCCGATATCACGTCCCCTGGAAACGTTCTCACCAGCGACAGTTCATCCACCTCAGGGGATGAGGCTGGGGGCCTCTCGGGAGCAGGGCTGGGGGGTGCAGACAAGGGGGCAGGTGAGGCTGAGGCGCAGGATGGAGTGTCTCCACCGTCCAGGGCTGGGAAGACGGCCAGACCCACGTCATCTTCGGGGATGTCGTCCAGGGTCTTGGTGAGCGCTGCCAGGAGGGCCTCATTCTCACTGTCGATCTGAAGCGAAGAGGGTGTAGGGGCAGAGAGGGGATATGGTTAGTCACTACCTTGGACTCAGTTGTCTTAGTGGCAGGACTCTGCGCTGCCCACCTAGCTACCCCATCGCCTCTCTCCCCATCAGATCTCAGTATTCCCGGGATAATAGACACCCAATAAACGGGGCATTGACTCCCAGCATCAGAGCATTTTAGGACAGGCAGCAGGCGATCATGGGAAGGGCCCTGCCCCGGGGGTGTCTTGGTTGCTGCTCAGTGCAGTGCTGTCCACCGGGCAACGCCTGCCTCCCTCGCCAAGGCGAGGGTCTATAGCACACGTGACAGCATCCCATTGCAGGCTCTAGCCCCTTGGCCTGGCAGTGCGGGGACAGAAGCTCCCGGGACCAACCATGGCAGCAATAAGACAGCTGTCATTTCCCTGTGGATCACCAGGGCTTGCGCTTCTCATTCACTCAGGGGAGCAGGAGGATGTGGGGGTTAGAAGCCCGGGCTCTGAGTTGGGGCTGAATCCCAGATCCGACACTATCAACTGTGGGTTCTTGGGTGGGTTAATGTCCTCATTATCCTGTCTAACAGGGCAACGACAGCGCCTACTGTGTCAGGTCACTGTCGAGGACGCGGGGCACATGTAGGTGAGACGTTCAGAAAGCAGTGCCTGGCACAGGTCAGCACCCGTTAGCACTACCGCGGCTGACTAGGATGCCCTCTGCTGCCATGGCTGCTCCTGGGACGACAGCCACAGCAGCGGTGCTGACGGCGATGGTGCCCTTCCTCCCGCCTCCTCCCTCGCTTCCCCTGCCGCCTGCGCTGACACTCGGATACATCACGCCAAGATGGATGCATCCCTGCCCTCACGGGGCTTACCCTCCAGCGGAGACTGGAGTCAAGCAAATACACAGCTCAGATTGTTCCAGAGAGTGAGAAAGGTGGGAAGAGAAGGAAATGAAAGGAAGCCGTGATGGAGAACAAGACTATGGTGAAGATCTACAGCTGATTCCGGGTGGCTGAAGAAATCCTCTTTGAACAGCTCACACTGGAACTCAGGCTTGAAAGACTCCAGCAGGTAAAAGGTTAAGGAGAGAAGACCAGGCAGAGGGACACCTCGACGCAAAATCCTGGGCACAGAACGTGGCTGAAGAGAGCAAGAGAACGGCTTGGTCCACGCTGCCTCAGGTCCCAACAGCCCCTCAGGGGGGTTCTAACCTGCGTTTTGCAGTTATGGAAACTGAGGCGTATAGAGGTCCAACAACTTGCAGAGAGTCACACAGCACCCAAAGGACAGAGCCAGGACTTGGACCGAGGGCCCCACGCACGGTCATGTCAAAGACCTGCAGAGTGTCGGCTTGCATGCCCAGCCCACAGGCGCCTGGGCACACTTCTAGGGGGGGCACTGGGCGCCTCCTGCAGTGAGCCCCGCTCCTACGCCCTTTGAAGAAAGCACACTCTGTCACGCGGTGCCTCTCCGGCGCTCTCTTCCCATCCTAGGTCAGCCTGCTCGCCCCTTCTTCAGGAAGTTCATCGGAAACGCACATCCCGTGACAGCCTTTCGGCCGCATTAATCTATTCCAGGCCTTGCAGAGGAGCAGCAGCTGAGTAATTCGAAGGGGGGACCCGGGGAGAGGAGAACAAATGTGTCTGTCATTTTTAGAACAGAGCTAATAAAAGAAAGGTCAAAAGAAGATTTTGGTTGGGCCTGACCCATGCCCTGGGGATGGGGGTCCACGGGCAGATCAGGGCCCAAGGACTCTGGCTCTAGCATGCGATGTGGCTCCTTCGCTACATCACCACTACCCACAAGTCTCCCTGGCCCTCAGACCACCCCGACCCTGTGTTCCCAGAACAATCTATAAAGCTTAATGAGGAGCTGACATCCTGGAACTTGGGACTCGATGACTACTCCTGGGGCTGACCCTATGTGGCTCTGCAACTGGCAGGGTGCCCGTGGGCAAGACCTCTCTCTCCTGTAAGCCTTGTTCCTTTCCTGTAAAACAGGGATCCGTGATCTCCGGCCCACCTTCCTTTCAGGGTACCCTGGACGCCAGCTCTGGAGGTGAGCGCTGCAGTGCTTAGCGCAATGCCCGGGTGTGGGAGCCACGGCGGCAGCACAAACGCAAGAATGAATGGACCGCACAATGAACGATGGCGGGAAACTGTGCTCAGTGTCTCGAAGACCAGACTGGAGCGGGACGTCGTCCAGAGATGACATCATCAGCACCGGATGGGAGGAGAATTCCCACTCGTTCCCAGGGAGAGTAGCAGCGGCCCCGAGGTGCTGGGAGTGATCACAAACACGGAGCTGGAGGGGCTCTCAGAGACTAAGTGGTGCCGGCCATGTCAAGCACATGTGAGCTTCCGCCCCCGTGTCACTAACCAAATGTGGCACTAGCTCTTCCCACACCAGCATCTTCCTTGAACTGGGGCTCCGGTAACAACCCACCAATCAATTTCAGTGGATGCTTGGGAGGAACCTCTCTGCCGTTCTTTGGAGAGGATGAAGGCCCAGGAAAGAGAGCTGGTGAGGTCACGAGGCAAGGCAGGAGGTGGGGCTGAGGACTAGAACCAGGACTTAGAGACAACGCTGACTTAGAGCCACACTCAGTGCCAAAGTGCGTACAAAATGCCAAGGCCCAAGAAGCACCATCAGGTTGGGTAAATACACGTCTCGAACAGAAAGCATTCCCTAGCCCCACCTTCCCCTGGGCTGGTCCGCTTGGGACCCTGAGCCCAGCTGGGCAAAAAAGCCATCTCTGTCCATGCCGGCCATGCTTCCTGCGTGCCGTCCCATCAGCCCCCGAGGATAACACGTCACAGGGAGTGCGCCAGCCCGCTCCTCTTCCCAGGCCATTAGCTTGGCTCTCCCTGCTCGGCTTAGAAACAGAGTGCAAATTAATGGAGGGTTAATCAGCTGAGGAAGGGATATTAATAGACCCGCCCCACCCCCAACCTTCCTGCGCTGATCTCAAGCTGGAGGAAAAGGAGCCTTCACGAAATCTGAAGGAAAACGCTTCCCTTTGAGAACCTAGACTGGCTTGCAGGAGTGTCATAGCATGGAATTCAGACTATCAGGGCCAGAAGGACACTTGGAGAGCCTTCTCCTCTGTCCAGGGGTGTCGGAGCAACCCACTACAGGCTGAGAAACACAGGAATGGTCCCCCATTCCTTTCTGGGAATAGGTTCAGGATTTCAACAGAGTTCAAAAGGACCCAGTAACTCTCCTTCTCTACCCCCAACAGATAAAGAACCACAGACCTCATCCCTGTTCCTCTTCATTCTTCACATGGGGAAACTGAGGCCTGACCAAAGGCAATTTCTTGCCCAAGGTCACACAGCAAACTGTGGGAGGAAAACCAAACTCCTGCATATATGGGGTCATCTGAAAAGTCATGATGCATTTTTTTTGCATAGAAAAACATAGAAAACTACATCATGAATTTTCCGACGACCGAACACTAGAAATATTCACTAGGTGCCTAGCATCCTCAGCGTTGGAACACAGAGACATGGAAGGCAATGCCCCTGTTCCCCAGGAGTCAACAGCTCTTGCAGCTGCATCTTGTGCTCACCCCCAGTTTGTGTGTGTAGCTATGGTGCCATCTGGTTGTTAGAACTAGCTCTCGCATGGGCAGCATCATGACTCGGTGATTCCCACGGGTCCCGTAAGTTAACTACCTGAGAGCCAGCGGCAGAGGAGGATTCAAACCTACGGCTACTGGACCCCAGCTCAAGGTTTTTGAAGTGGGCCATGTCTGGCCCTTGGCAGGAAATAAAATATTACAATCCATTCCTTCATTCAATATGTATGAATGGAGTTCTTACAATGTGTGAGGGCCCCTTTTTTTGCATAGAAAAACATAGAAAACTACATCATGAATTTTCCGACGACCGAACACTAGAAATATTCACTAGGTGCCTAGCATCCTCAGCGTTGGAACACAGAGACATGGAAGGCAATGCCCCTGTTCCCCAGGAGTCAACAGCTCTTGCAGCTGCATCTTGTGCTCACCCCCAGTTTGTGTGTGTAGCTATGGTGCCATCTGGTTGTTAGAACTAGCTCTCGCATGGGCAGCATCATGACTCGGTGATTCCCACGGGTCCCGTAAGTTAACTACCTGAGAGCCAGCGGCAGAGGAGGATTCAAACCTACGGCTACTGGACCCCAGCTCAAGGTTTTTGAAGTGGGCCATGTCTGGCCCTTGGCAGGAAATAAAATATTACAATCCATTCCTTCATTCAATATGTATGAATGGAGTTCTTACAATGTGTGAGGGCCCCAGAGATGAATGAAATGTCACTAGTCCTCAAACAGCTTGCAAACGGAAGGACACACACACATGGGCGAGGAAGGAACCGAGAGAGCTGAGCGTAGGACTTATTCATTAGCTGGCTACTTATGCAGCCCTGACGAAGTGCCGGGCACCGCACAAAGCCCTGGGCTATGACAATGCACGATGCAGACACAGCTCCCACGCTCACAGTGTTTATGATGGGCAGGGGGTGAGGACAGGCCTTAACAGGCCTTAACCACAAAATCACATGCAGGGGGTGTGCATCCACAGTAATGGAAAGAGCTGGCTGAGTCTGGGGAGAGCCAGTGGGGTAGGCAGGCCACAATGGAGAGAGGACCTGGGTGCACTGAGCCGGCCCAGGGTGAGTCTGAGACCATTTCATGTAACAGCTAACACCACAGGGGCCTGTACTGTCTAGATGGGGATGTTCTCCAGGCAGCATCCAAACCCCCTGCAGTCTGAAAGCATTTTCTAGAAGCTGGTCTCCGAAGAGGAAGAACAACACAACACAGGTGACATCCTCACTAGTCAGATAAGGAAATGGAGGTCCTGGAAGAAACTAGAACTAGAGCCCAGCTGGACCGACATCTGCAGGGTTGGCAAAAGGATCCAGTGTGGCAATGACGGGTATGGGTTCCTAAGTAGTATCTTTGCTCCAACCTTTTTTAGCTGTGTGATCCTGGGAAAGTCAACTTCTCTGGACTTTTCTCACCTGTAAAATGGGTTATTTTAAAATTTTATTTTGTATCAGAAAAGAGAGGGATAGGAAAGAGACAAAGATAGCTTCCCCCCCCCCCCCAAATTTTTTTTACCCCCCCCCCCAAGATTTTTGCTATATGGTATATGCACTTGCCAGAAAGACAGAGAAATTGAAAGTGAGAAATCATCCCCCAGGGGCATGGCCATGCCACAATCCCTTCTCCTCCATTCTCCTCTCAGGACCTTGGACACACACAACACACGTGCCTGGCATGAGTTTCAAGCATCTGGGTCTGGGACTGGAACTGCATTTGGCCATGTGGGAGTCCAGCAACATAACCATTATGTCATCTGAAGGTCCCGGATAGCTATTTTTTAAATTGACATAGGGCATGTGTGCTCACCAGAGACACAAAAATAAAGAAAGAGAGAGAGAGAGGAGAAGCCACCTCTCAACAGGGTGTGGTCATGTGCAATCCCTTCTCTTTTAGTTTTCCACCCTGTAGGGTTGGGGCATGCACACACATACACTCAGTGTGCTTTTCAGGCTGCCAGAGCCAGGACTTGAACCATGGTTGGCCATAACGGATCCAGTTTCCTTAACCAGTAAGCCAAGGCTTGGCCCCAAATGGGTTATTAGTAGTACACAAGATAGCACGTAGATTAGAAGTTTTAGGGAAGGGGACCAGCAGTTAGCGTAATGGCTATGTCGCTGGACTTCCACGTAGTCGACCGCGGTTCGCATCCCGGACACAGTGGCTTAAACTCACGCCAGGCGCATGCGTGTGCATGCCCAAGATCCCAAGAGGAGAATGGAGGAGAAGGGATTGCGGCATGGCCATCTCCCCTGGGGGGTGATTTCTCGCTTTCTATCTCTCTGTCTCTCTCTGTCTGTCTCTGTCTGGCGAGCGCACAAGCCCTATAGCAAAAACCTCTCAAAAAAAAAAAGAAGTCTTGGGGAAAATGCCTCCTCCTTACCGCAGCTCACAGGACTGCATGATCTGACTCTTGCTTAGCTGGCCCACCTTATCTCCTAGGACTTTCCCCTTAGCCGCCACCCGTTGGCCCTTCTGTCCCTCCAGCATGGTGGGCTTTTCCTGCTTCCTGGCTCAGCACTTACTGCTTCCTCTGCCAGGAAGGCTCTGTCCTGGCTCTTTGATCTACACGTGGTGTCTCCTTCTCGTTCCTCAGCTGAGGTGCCTCTTCCTCAGGGAGGCCTTTCCTGACTGCCCAGATCCCTTTCTCTTCCCAGGCTAACTTCCTTTTGTGACTCGTCACAAGCCCCCCTCAGCTGTAAAGTCCCTTGACGAGCATATGCCTGACACACAGGGAGCGTGTTTCTAGAAGGAAGGGTCAAACCCTCCAGGAGGACTGTCTGAGATGACATGGCCGTCAGCATGGCACTGGACACACCGTCTGCTGTTATTGCTGCTTGCTGTCAGACAGGCACAGTGACACCCCACTTCTGCCCCCGGTCTTTATGGGCGAGATCTTCCAGAAAAGGTGCGTGGATCGAATGTACCTATCGCTCAGCTTCAACCTGGCCTGTCTCGTCTCTTCTCTTCTCTCTCGTGGCCAGGGGACTTGTGTGTTGGATAGACAGAGGAGAGGAAGGAAAAGCACTCCCCGACGGGCCGTCGTTCTGGTACTGTCCTGTTTCCTCCATTTCTCTCTTTCTCCTTCCTGACAAGATTTTGGGCACACACACACATGTGCTAGTTTGTTTTTGAAGTCACTAGGCATGGAGTTTCAGCTGTATTTGGCCATGGGGAATCTGGCTTCCAACGCAGAGTTTAACCACTGGGGGCCAACGCAACACGGTCAGTCTTATTTTAGCTGTTACCCTCTGATCCACATCCCACACCCACACAGGCAAGTCCATGAAGACCACAAATCCCGTATTATTCATATAAGAGGCCTTTGTAAAGGAAATGCCAACCACCACATGCCCCTGGGGCGGGTGTCAGAGCACACAAGATTGACAGAGGCACATGCACTGTGGTTCTCGGCACTGCCTCTTACAAAGAACCCCCAGGCTCCAACTGAAAAAAGGAGATAAACTGCATTTACCATGGAGAGTGGCTGAGAGAATGAAATGAGCCAAGGAACAGAAACACTCCTAACAGAATAGTTGCTCAATAAACATGAGTTATTCTCATGATGGTGACAAAGTCCTGGCTGCAGAAGCAAGCAGACTGGGTTTGCAGCCACAGACCAGGCAAACTGCTCTCAGCCCGTGACTTTTCCAAGCCCCGGGTTCCTTATCTGTAAAATAGGGTAATAACACCATAACACTGTCTGCCTCAGAGTGCAGGAATGAGGATTCGATGAGATCCTGGAGGGAACTGAGGACTTGGAGCCCTGCTGCCTCACAGGGGGGCTTGGTTTGGCCTGCAAGGCACAGAGAGAACAGCTCATCCCAACCCCTACTTCCCAGAGGCCTCAAGCCAGGAGAAGTGAGAGAGGGAGAGTCGAGAGTCGTAGACCAGGTGCCAATCCAGCACCAGAAGCAAAGTCCCAAGAGTTTTGGTGGGGAGAGGCCTTCTTTCCATGAGCAAGAGCTGAAGATGGTAGAGCTGACCACAGTTGGGCTTGGGGGTGGAGAGAGCCCAGCAGGGTGTGAGACAGCCGGATTGGGGTGGGGGTGGGGGCAGACCTGGAAGAACTCGGAGTCGTCGGGGCTGTACTGGCTGGGTTCGGTTTCCGAGTTCTCTGGGCACCACTGCAGTTCTCCAAAGCAGGTGGCCGAGTCAAAGTCGCTGGCGTCCAGCTGGGAGAGGTCGAGCTCTGGGAAGTCGGCACACAGTTGCTCTTCACCGGAACCCTCCACCTGAGGAGACAGGAAGGAAGGAGGCCGATCAGAGTAAGCCTGGCTAGACCCAACCAGGGACCTTCTTACTCATCATGCTGCCAGATGACCATGAAATGTAACGATGCATCCCACCCCTCGTAATTGTTGAACCTACTGATCCTGAAAGCTAAGCAGGGCCCCGGCAGTACAAGCCGCCTGCTGTTCTCTCCTCCACCTCTGTACTCCTATACATCCTGCAAGGCCCTGTCCACGTGGCTCCTCCGTTCTCTTACTAGAACTGCTTTGTTGAAAACTGTATTGGAGCCTGTAAATAGAAAGCTATTCCTCTATATAACTGCCCCTGCCTATAAAAGGGTTTCTTAAAGCTATACTATTCCTGGGACCAGCAGTTAGTATAATGGCTATGTTGCTGGACTCCCATGTAGTCGACCACGGTTCAAGTCCCAGACTCAGCGGCTTTAAACACAGGCTGGGCACGTGTGTGTGCGTGCCCAAGATCCAGAGGAGAATGGAGGAGAAGGGATTGCGGCGTGCCCATCCCCCCTGGGGGGTGATTTTTCACTTTCTGTCTCTCTTTCTGGCGAGCGCACACGCCCTATAACAAAAACTTCTCCAAAAAAAGAAAAAGCTATACTATTCCTGAAACAACAAAACAGCAATAATGACTGACTTTATTGTGAACATTCACCCACAGAACTATTTATAATCTCTAAAATGTAGACACCCACCCCTCAGTAGACAATGGGTAAGTAAAACCATGATGGACCTGTATCAGGAAATACCGTGGTGCTATTGCAAAGCAGGAGGCAGATCTAGGTGTTCTCTAAGACAAGTTCAACAACAACAAAAAAACAAGTTACAGAACATCAGCTTGTACAATGCAATCCCACACGTAAAGAGAGTGTAACCGAAATCAAGCTACGCATGTCTGTATGTATAAGAAGACAGATACTCCTCGACCTACGACGGGGTTGGTTACAGCCCAACAAACCCATCGCAACTTGAAAACATCTTGTGTAAAGGGAACCAGCAGTTAGCGTAATGGCTATGTCGCTGGACTCCCACGTAGTCGACCGCGGTTCGCATCCTGGACCCGGTGGCTTAAAACTCACGCTGGGCGCGTGTGCGTGCGTGCCCAAGATCCTGGGAGGAGAATGGAGGAGAAGGGATTGCGGCGTAACCATCCCCCCTGGGGGGTGATTTCTTGCTTTCTGTCTCTATATCTCTCTCTGTCTGTCTGGCGAGCGCATGCGCCCTACAGTGAAAAAAAAAAAAAAAAACCTCTCAAAAAAAAAATTAAAAAAAAAAATCTTGTGTAAAAAGGCATTTAATGGGGCTAGCAGATGGCATAGTGGTTAAGGTTCTGGACTCCTATGTGGCCAACAGCAATTCGAGTCCCAAACCTGGTGGCTTGAAACTCATGTCAGGCGCATGTGTGTGCACGTCCAAAATCACAGGAGGAGAATGGAGGAGCAGGGATTGTGGCGTGACCATCCCCCCTGGGGGGTGATTTCTCACTTCCCGTCACTGCCTCTCTCTGTCTCTCTCCAGTGAATGTACATACTCTATAGCAAAAACAATACAACTGGGGCCGGCAGGTAGCTTGGTGGTTATGGGTTCTGGACTTCCATATGGCCAACTGTGATTCTAGTCCCGGACCTGGTGGCTTGTTTTCTCACTTTCTCTCTCTCTGTCCCTCTCTTATCAAATTAAAATAAATAAATAAATAAATAAAGTTAAATAAAATAATTCTTTTGGGGAAAACAAAACAAAAGGCATTAATTTATGAGCATCATAACCTAGCACCTTAAATGTGCTCGGTACACTTACATTAGCCTACAGTTGGACAAAATCATCTTCCACCAAAGCAACTTGATAATAAAAAGTCCAATTTCTCACAGAATTTATTCAATAGAGTATTGAAAGTGAAAAATAGAATGGCTGCATGGGTACTTGGGATGTGGTTTCTGCTAAATCCCTTTCGCATCACTGTTAAGTTGAAGAATCATTAAGTTGGGCCCACAGATGGCATGTAAGTTAGACGGCTGGGTCCCACATGGCCGACTGTGCAGTTCGAGTCTCAGACTTGGCGGATTGAAGAACACCTAGATGCATGTGCATGCATGCCCAAAGTCCCAAGAAGGCACTTGAGAAGAAGGGACTGTGACATGGCCATCCTTGAGAGGGGGTGTCCTTCTGTCTTTCTCTGTCTCTGGAGACCACATATGACCAAAAACCTAAAAATAAGGAATCATTAAATTGAATTGCCATAAGTTAGGGCCATGTGCATATGCAAATATGCATGAAAAGGTCTAGAAGGTTGTAAACATGACTGTGATGAGCACGCAGAGGAATTTGGAGGGGTCTCTGGTAACAGCACTGTTTGAATCAGCAGTTCTCAAAGTGTGGTCTCAGGATCCGCAGAGCCAGCATCGCCTGGGAACTTGGTATGTTAGAAACAATGCGAATCCTTAGCTTCACCCAAATGGGCTGAATCAGGTGACTGCTTTGTCACCCGAGTGACCCAAGCTTAGCAGTTACCAGCAGGAGGGCTGCCTTGCAGATTCAGAAAGAGACTAAGTCCAGAGGCTGACAGACCAGCAAGAACACCACAGCAACAAAAAGATGGGCCCCAAGGCCTGGCTGATCTGAGTCAAAAGACCCACTCACCAGGTACGAGGCTTTGGGGAAGTCCCTTCACCCCTCCAAAATTCACTGCCTCACTTGTAAAGTGGGAACAAAGACAAGACTTGCTTCCTGCTGTTAAATTAACAGGTAACGCTATATCCTTGTCCAGTAAGTGATAAATATCAGAAGACAATAGTCCCAAGTGACGAAGACAATAATAATTAATAATATAAAATGGAGTTTCATGGCAGGCAGTAAGGGGTGGGGACTGTCTCAGAGAACCAAAAAAATAGGCGTATGTGACATGCCCAAAAAAAAAGGGTTTTGCCCAGGCCTTCTCCTTAATTGTTCCCACTTACTGGGCCTCATAAATTATGAATAAATGTGTATTATTAGCTCAACTTGACACAGGAAAGAGGCTTTTATCCAAATTTGGGTCAAATGTCTTAATTGGCGTTTTGCAGGAAGCCTGCCTCCACGGGCAGCACCAAGGCCAGGTCCTCGCAGCGGCAGGTCCCCAGCTCTCAGGCCAGGCAGCATGGCGCCCCGCAAGTCAGCCTCCAGGGACAAGCCTCCACCACCCCAGCCCTCCATCTGCCCATTCC